TGCTGTGGTAGTGTGGTGTGGTGGTGTGGTGGTTTGGTGCTGTGGTAGTGTGGTGGGGTGGTGGTGGTGGTGGTGGTGGTGGTTGTGGCGGTGGTGGCGGTGGTGGTGGTGGGGTGATGGTGGTGGTGGTGTTGTTGTTGTTGGTGGTGGTGGAGCGTCTTTTGTTTCAGCGGGCATTAACCTTAACTCGACCAAACCCGGTGTTAAAAAGAACTGCAGCGTTAACGCAGGAGCAGAATGCTCAGGGACCCGACATCAAAATCGACATGTGTCTCAACCCTAAACCCTAAAACCGCTCCAGCGTGCTGTCATCGAGGCGATGGGGTGATGCCCTGTCTGGCTCTTTTGGCCTCTGCATGTTGGAGGCGCGAGTCGCCTTGATCACTGGCTCCTACGTTCAATTTGGTTATAGAAGTTCTTTAAATTCATCTCATGCCTCGTTCGTTTTCTTATTCGCCCTTGCGAGATTGCACCTGGCGGGGAGTGGCAATACCGAGCTGCTGCAATTGAGCTGCGGAATGAACACTCAAAGCAGGAAGGCAACTAAACCCTAAACCCTAAACCCCAACCCTGTCTTAAAGGGAATGGGAGGGGGAGCTGTTCAAGCTAGCTTGCGAAGATCGTAGAATCATTGCGTCCCCAAGGGTTTCGGCTTGACATTTTGTGAGGTCCTAGCGTTTAGGGTTTACCTGTCGTCTCCATTGTCCGTTGTAGTTCCCTTTTTTGCGTTAACAGCTTCATATTCAGGATCCTACAGGGTAACCCAAAAAAGGAATTACAATGGAGGCTGTAGGTAGTGTTTAGGGGCTTCGGCGTCAGTTCGTCAGGTGATGATGCTGGACATTCCGACCACCCAGCGCTTCATCAACGACTGCGTCTCTTTCCATTTTGACATTGTGCAAGGCCCGAGGGCCCAGAGCAGGGGGGTGTGTCGAACCTGGAAACTCTGGGTTTGCAAGAGTTTTGGGCTTGGGCTTGTAGGGTTTATAGGTAGGGTTTACAGTTATAGGGTTTAGGAGATTAGGGTTTATAGGATTTATAGGGCTTATAGGGTTTATAGGTATAGGGTTTAGGGTTTAGGGTTGAGGGTCTGCAATTAGGGCCGTTGTGCCGAATCCAACATTCCCGCGCTCTCATTCGAAGCCTGTGCCCCTTAAGTGCCACGGGCTATAGGGTTCAGCCAGAGGGTCCGCGTATTCAACTAGTACACGCTTTGGTCTGAAAATAGTCCCTGTGCAGGTACTTTGGTACCGAATATACGAAATGGGTACATGGAACTGAGGGTTCAGTGCTGCGCGGATCCCTAGGCTTCAGTCTAGAGACTCATAGACGCAAACGTTGATACTGCCATCGGTTGGGCTATGTGATGTCATGTTGGGTTGAGAGTTCAGAGTTTTCGAACTCTTTGGATCTCCGCCGAAGGGTTTTTCAAGCATGTGAACGTCGGCTGCTCAGCAGCAGAAGCCTTCGCTCGTACACTGTAGTCACTGTTGCAGTTATTAGGGTTTCGGGTTTAGGGTTTCGGATTTAGGGGTACATTGAGATAAACCCTAAGCCCGAAATTCGTCCGGGCTCCTGAGCTACCTTCCGAGGCCCTCCCGGTGCAGCTCCAGTCTGCTGTACCTGTAGTCTCCATTGAGGTTCCTTTTTGGGGTTACCTTTTAGGATCCTTAATATAAAATAGGTTAAAACCAAAAAAAGGAACTACAATGGAGACTATAGGTAGTCTTCAACTGCGGTGTTTCTGGGCACCTCCATGCTCTTGACCCCCGATCCGACTCCAACCACTCCAAGGTCGTTGGAGCATTTGGGAGGTCCCGAAAATAAGGGGTACCTAACTTTGGGGGTCCTTATCATAAGGATCCTACTATTTATGATGCTATATTAGGGTCCCCAATTTTCGAAAACTCCCATAATGATACAAGAGAGCCCTTAGCTTAAGAAGCATCCCGGAACCCCGACACCCACATCTGCTTACGGCCACAGGTATGTCTCGGCAGTACATGACGTCCCCGGTTGCCTTCGCCATGGGCCGGTGCCCAAGAGCCCTGGCACCAGGGCTGAGATCCAGGATTCCCAGAGAGCCCAAGTTACGCCTTAACTAAGGGATATATTCCTAAAACAAAGTGCCTGTTTTAGCGTTCTTGTTTTTAGGGTGCGGTACTGTTTTTGGGGGACTTAAAACGAACCCTAACTCGAGAACTACCTATCTAGAACGGCTCCACTGCCGCTTGCGTCGGAATGAAGCGAAGGAAGCACACTGTTCATTAATGTGTTGCCTTCTGGCAGATCCCAAGCCCTGAACCCCGCACCGGCGTCCAGGTGGGGAGTTTAGGGTAGGGTTTTAGGGTTTAGGGTTTAGGATAGTTTAGGGTATATAGGGCTTCCATAAGGCTTCTAGAAGGTCTGATTGTTTCGGGCCCCATGTTTGAAGGTCTTACGCGGTACGTTGGCCATCTTGCATCACTACACGGCCTCCAACCTACTCTAATTATTCAGGGCACTACATGCCTGGACTATAAACCCGAAACTCTATAGACTTTCTTTCCTGAGACGTACATCCTAAGCCTTGCACCAAACCTACATCAGCACATCCTGGCTCTCGGGCGGCAAGGTGCAGCAATGGCTGGCTTGCTGCCGGCCAACATCCGGCCGCTTGGTCACGATTTGCTCGGGGGGTTGTAAGCAAGACCCTGAACCCTAAACTCCCTAAACCGTTCGTTGCAGAGAACTGTCGATAAGTGAGACTGGCACTTTCCTTCGAACGTGACTCAAGCTCTCCGGGTCTTTTCAACTCGGCTCTTCGCCTTGTAAGCACACGTGTAACTTACGAACCACATTCGAGGATGTATAACCCCACTACGAAAGACCCAAAGACCTGCCCCATGGCCGGAAAGCCATATGCCCATTAAACTTTCAAGTTGAGCCTCAGGGAACGAGGGATCCTAGCATAGACCCTACGTTTAGATTGGGACTCTTCTATAAGGACCCCCCCAAATAAAGGCAACACTGAATTCCAGTAGAGCGGGCCAGGAACGTGCAGACCTACCCGGAGGATGGCAAATACTGCCGCATGATCAACCAGCATCTGGTGAGGCCGACTCCTATACCCCGAGCCCTAACGCCTAAAACCCTAAACAATAAAACCCTAAAATCCTAAAGCCCTAAAGCCCTAAACCCTAAAACCCTAAACCCCAAACCCGAACCTCTAAAACCCTAAACTCTAAAGCCCTAAAGCCTTAAAGCCCTAAACCCTAAAACCCTAAACCCTCAAGCCCCGAACCCTAAACCCTAAACCCCTAACCCCAAACCCTAAAACCCGAAACCCTGTAAATCCTAAAACGGCCCTAAAGGTCGAGCTTCAGGGGCTCAGGGCATTCGGAGCCTAGCGCCTGAGTCTACTACAACTACATTCAGCTTCAGTCACACATCCTTCAGGTCCTTCAAGACTCTGAATTCTTGATCTTCTCTTAAGTGATACCCGGACCCTAAGGAAACTACTTTTTTGGGGGTTCATTGTTATGATTTCGTTATACAAGTCCTTAAAAAGCGTAGGTTCTTCAGGGTCCGGGTAATACACCTATTCAAGCAGTACTCTTTGCCCTGGTCTCGTTCCTGGGGCTTGGTGGTGTCGCTTCGGGGGGACGGGCAACTCTCATACATTATACCGAGTAATTAAGCATAGATTCACCCCGGAGACTGACATCAGAAGTCTTATCAGCTATAAGAGCTTTGGCAAGGGCTTAGCTACACTTCCAGACCGGTTTAGTTCTGGTTCTAGCCCGGGCTGGATTGATCTGAACCCGGGTGAAGTTTACTTGGGTGCTGCTGCCATGGCCCTACGAAGCCAAAGTGGAACAACGGAGGTACCCCACACCCTGAGGTGCTGTTGTTTGTGGAGATGCAGCCGGCCCAAACAGAAGAGGCCTCGCCCGGAGCAGCGCTTTGGGCCTGCCGCAGGTCAGAGACCCGTCCTGTGCCCGGCACAAGGACGCGCAGCTTCAACAAGACTGGTTGGGGATTTGGCCACATGTGAGACCACTGAATCTGTGATCTTTGTGCTGGCGGCGTGCGCTGGCTATACAGGACCTGATGAGCCCTGAACTCAAGAGCCGCGTAAACGCAAAAGCATTGAAGCTCTAAACCCAAGCCCTCCGAAGCTTAAATTGCAACCCTCAGACATAAAATCTCTAAGCCCTAAGCCCTAAACATCTTAAGTCTCGAAACCCTAAAACATCTTAGATCACGAAACCCATCTAAACCCAAAACCCTTGGAGTCCTCCTTGCAAAGGCGGAACTATGCAATCCGATTCGCCGAGCTGAGCGATTTGCCTAGCTGTTCCGGCACGTTTTCTTTCTGGTGCTGAAGGGTTGTAACGGCTTAGGGTTTAGGGTTTAGGGATTTAGGGTTTACTGATGAGATTAGGGTTGAGGGTTTAGGGGTGTAGGGTTTACTGATTAGGGTTTAGGGTCTGAGTGTGTGTTGCATGCATGGGATGTTGAGGTGTCGGGGATTTTGGCGATTTAGGGTTCAGGGTGTTAGGGTTTGGTTGGGGTTCGGAGTTCGGGGTTCACAGTTTCTGATCTTGATTCGGGTGGCAGTTTACAGCTTTCGCTTGCGGTTGGGTTCATGCTGGGTGGGGGGGGGGGGGCTTAGAGTGTAGACTGGGGTTCTTAGAGCCCTAAACCCTGAAACCCTGAACCCTGAAACCCTAAACCCTAAACCCAGGGTTCAGAGCCTTAGTAGGTTTGGGATTGAAACTCCCAGCTTGGAGGTGCCAATGTTTGTTGGTCATGGCTATTGCGGGTGCTGTGGCTGGGATTGCCGTGCTGAAAGAATTGAGAAAGGCTTCGTTGGATTATACATCGCCTAAAGCCATATCCTAGCACTACAGTAGGTCACCTTTAACCTTTCTGAGGTACGTTAACCTTTAGTTCCCCTAGGACTCTGAGAAACCCTAAACCATCAAACCATGTGGAATCCTAAACCTCTCTCAACCCAAGAAGGCCCTGGGGCTTGAACTCGATGTCCTTAAAGCCTTAAATCCCGGGTGCTGGTCTAAGGTTTAGGGTTTTGAAAAGCCTGTCGACCCACACAAAACCGTATAAAGCCTTATCCAACCCTCTGAAAACTGAAAGGCCCCGAATTTCAATCCCTAAACCCTACACCTTCATAGTAGCCCTTATTCTTGCAACCCACAAACCTATCCCCGAACCCTTGAACCATTCAAACCACCTCCTGGTAGCAGAGTAGGTGACCTTAAACCGCGTTGGGGTTCTATAATCCCACAAGTTAAACTTTAAATCCCCTAGGATACTGGACAACTAGGATCCCATACGGCCCATACCCCAAACCTCGTCTTAAGGGTCCAGGTAGTCCTCATGTATAGTTTTTGGTACCCAAAATGGACCCAAAGTCCTATTCTAGGGAGTACTTGGACCCTTAGGGTAAACCTAAAACCAAATCCTTACATAACACCCTAAACCCTAAACCCAAAACCCTAAACCCGAAACCTTTAAACCCAAATCCTTGAAGCCTTAAGCGTATTTAAACCGCTTGCTTCGCCAGGTCTTCTCAGACTCGAGGAGTTTGCTTGGGTCCAGGAGATGCGAGCTCGGGGCCTCAGAAGATTTGGTGTCTGCTTCCCTTGTGTTTGCTCTGTCTTTAGGGCTTCATTTGGGTTTTGGGGTATCATGTCATTATATAGTTGGGTTTGTTTATTTGTGTAGTACTTGTTAATTTTTTTACCTGTTTGCAGAGTTGTCTGTTCGTTGGCATGTCTTTTTGTTGCATTTGTTGCGTATTTTTGGTAGCTGAGTGTTGAGCTTCGCACAAGGCTTTGTAAGTTGTACGGGCTGGGTGGTTTCTATCAATGTTGCGTTGTTCGGTTGTGTATGATTTTTATCAGGGGTTGAAAACGTAGCAAGACAAGGGGTTTGTTGGTCTTATGAGGCCTTCATAGGGGAGAAGGGAGTCAACCGGGAGTCTTGTAAACGGGTTCTCAAGCAAACCTCAATCAACATTTCATGAAGGAGGCTTTCATGAATGGGGTCATGAAAATGCGTGTTGATAAGGGCTGTTGGAGAGTGTGTTGCTTCATCAGGCTGTTTCTGGCAGAGGTGACGGTTGTGGTTTGAGTACCTCCTTTGGATATAGCACGTGGACTTGGTACACTGAAATCCGAAAGCTTAATGAACTTGGACCAGCAGGGCATAGTTGTAGTGTCACAGGGCCGTCGACCGACCCAACGTTGTAAAGATCTCAAAAGACCGCATCGCACCCTTATAGAGGACACCGTCTTGTCTCCTTATGAACACCCCTGCCTGCTTGTAAAACCCTTTCAATAAAAAACCTCATACAATTACCGTGGATGAGAAGATGCACACACTTAACAAACAAACTTAAACCCCTAGTACCCTAAACCATGAACCGGCAAAGCAAAACACCTCGCTGAGGCCACTGAGGAGGTGCTGAAAACCCGACTCACCACTTCTCCGACGACGAACCTAGTGGGGACCCTATGAGAGCTCTTTAGTTTCAGGAGTGAGGGAGCCCAAGGCATTTATAAAGGGCTTCTGTGATCTTCTGAGAGTCTTTACAGTAAGTAAGGTTTTAAACACGTTTTGTGGTTCTAGAGTTGTTTTTTTATTGCAGGTTTTGGAGGGCTTGCATGGGTTCGTTGTAGGGGCAAGGGGCGAACTGGCTTTGGCAGTTCTTGTTGGTTCAAGGGCTCAGGGCTTGGAGGTTCGGCGTTGTCGGCATTTTCTGTGCACTTTCTTTCGGTCTAAACCCTAAACCCCTAAAGCCCCCAAAACCCTGAACCCCTAAGCCCTAGACCCTAAAACCTTAAACCCCAAACCCCAGAACCCCTTCTTTGTCCGCAGCTGCGGTGGTTACATCTTTTTCCCAGGGAAGAGACTGGCAGGTCTTTGGAGGAAGCTTTAGACACTACAGGGTCTAGGGATTAGGGGTTTAGG